TACTTTGCTGCGCCCTGGTGTCAAGGGAAGTGGCCCGAGCATGTAAAAAGTCAGTCCCTTTCTATTGCCTGCTTGGAGCTGTTCCCTATTATGCTAGCGGTCCAGCAGTGGGCTGTCCCATTGCATAATGAATGTGTGATATTTTGGTGTGACAATCAGGCTGTAGTTAGTGTCATCAACAGACAAACGTCTAAATGTCACTTAATGATGCATTTGGTGAGCCGCCTCGTGGTGACACGTCTCACATATAATATCCAGTTTCGATCTCAGCATGTTCCAGGCATGGAAAATGGCATTGCTGATGCTCTTTAACGTTTTCAGATGACCAGATTCCGTCATCTCGCACCCGCTGCAGACCACGGTATGGCCCCCTTGCCCAACAACCTGTGGAGTGTCTTCAGTGAGAGGTCCAGAGTCTTTTGCATGACGTCGTGGTCCCCTGCACGAACTTGTCTTATCAGAGGGCTTGGCATCTTTTTCAATGGTTTACCCAAACCCATGGTTTTGATGCCGCGCACTCCCCCTCCCTGCTTCAGATAGTTCGATTTTTTAGCAATTTTATTGCTAAAAAATCATTTTCAGCCAATTTATTCACCAACAAATGTAATTGACTGGGCAGGCAAACCATGTACAATACGATTTTTGTGCATATCACGATGTTGAAAACTAAAAAAAATCAGATTCAGAGCAAACCATGTGCAGACAAATAATGGAATTGGACGCACGTACATATGTGCCTAACGTTGACACACGGCCAGTCATCACGCACACGTGCACATGCACCATTGCTGAGCTCATCAGCGCACTCGACGGTGCGAACGGCCAGAAAGTCACCGCCTCACGGCATGATTTTTCCGGTTTCCTTTGTTCCATAGCCAGCTTTATTGTTCTCCTTTCAATTATCAAGCATTCGTTTATGTCCAGCTTCGGTTTTCCCGAAACTCATTTGGTGTTTACTCACTTATCGAAGTCCAAAAATCACCTTCGCATCCGTTTTCTCGCCTAACGTTAATTCAAGATGGCGGACATGAATTTTTCGATTGGACAGCTGATGTTCGTGACGTCATGATATGATGTATATGGCTATTGAGTGTATGCTACTCCCGTGTGCAGTGGGAATAGGTGGCAGTATTAATGTTTTCAATGGCCGAGTATTCATCAGCCATTAATAAAATAGCAATCACAACTTTTGTGGCAATTCCAACCAAACGACTGCTTCGTGACTGCGTCTTCTTCAGAATTTTTTTCTCCCAACATCGGAAAGAATTTTGAAAATTTCAGCGAATAAATTGGCCTCAAACTGTTGATTTATTAAACATCACTACTGTTTTTTTTTCAAAAATGATTCCTGTGGTTCAGAGCTATTACTGACTGTTAGAAGCTGTAATTTTTCTTCAACTGTTATATGCTTTGCATGATACATGCATTTGTCAATGTGGAAAATTTAAATGAATTAAATGAATAATTTAAATTAAAAGTTTCCTGCAAGAGCAGTTCTAGTGCATAGGCTACACTAACTACTCAGACCTCAAATTATAATACAAACATAACTCAAGTCACCATAGATTGTGCACAGCTTTGGAAATAAAATGGCCATGGCATCAATAGTCAAGAAAAAGGTGAAGCGGCAAGCTCCTTGGTGCGTGTGTGCGTGCGTAAATACCTGCAAGTCTGGACCATAGCCAAGAGACACACCTTTCAAAAGAGGACCCACAGGAATCGCGGACGTCCACGATTTTTCTAATATAGTTTTTGGAAGTAAAACGGGCAATAGAGGATGCAATTTTGGTCCCAGTTCAATCGGACTTTAGTCCACGCTTGAATAGAAACTGTAAAGATTTTGTGTGACTTTTTACACGACAACATTGGGCTGTGTGAGAAAATGCTGTCGATTGAAAGAAATCAAAAGAATTACGCCCTCAAGCGGTACAACTGCGGCGCATGACGTCACTGGCGCGAGGGTGACAGCCGGCCACGGCCGGCCACACGCGATCGGTCGCCATTTTTCGTCCACGGTTTTTCGATACACAAATGGACGAATTGGTTGTGCAACTTCAAGAGATTTCCCCACGTGCTCAAGAACATGTCGACGTGAAACAGTCATCGGAGTAGGTATTCTCCTCTTTTCCTATTCTTGCGTAATTTATTAAATAAAACTTCTTTCATCGGGCCATGCAGGCACCACATTTAACGTAGGCCTACGTTATGCGTTCCGAGACTGCGTTTACACGGTTTAGGCCTGTATGAACATGAATATGATGTAGGTTACCTGAATCTGCATCTGTGCTGTGTGAAAACATGGCAGACAACCCTTCTGAGTCGACATGCACTCTTCCAAAAATCATAGTTATTCAGAACTACACATACCCTAGAAAGTTAACTGTCATTGTTTTTCTCACACTAGTATGGATTGTTGTTCTGACAATCTTGTTTTTGTATTTCCAAATCCATGAACATGAAGGTGGTAAGTTGCATGTACCCTAGACAGCTAGAGCTTGCTCTACGTACTGTATACATGTATAACTTAAGTACACTGTATTAAACCATCCACATCCAGGCTTATTCTAGCATAGGCTAATAAATTTTGGAATTAACCTAATCTACCATCTATCTAGAGACTCAGTAACTTAAATCTTTACTTTTAAAATACTG